CGGCGGCTGCAGGGGCTCCGTCCCACGTCTCCGCTCCCCCGCCACCCCAGAGACAGGGTCTCCCGGCGGCGAGTCAAAGGGGAGTGAGGCTCCCCCGCTCCTGGTCTGCTCCGCGAGAGCCTCCGAGGAAGCAGAGCTGTAATTAAGCCGGCTGCCACGAATCTGTTGATTAAGTAGACAGCAGGGCTCGCTGCAGAAGCCTGCTGGTTTTAACCTATCGGTTAATAACCTGCAGAGCTCGCGGCATTCCTCTGTCCGAGATACGCCTCCTACACACGGTCATAATAACCCATGAGCGCCGTTATAACGCCTCATGTGGACAGCACTGCACACACCTCCACTCATCCCCTGAGCGTGTACACGCCTCATGATGAAAGCCGGAGTGAAACGCAGCGTGTGGAGGCTTCCTCGCAGCCCTTTCGCCTCACGGGCAGCGGCGGCGAGGGCAATGGCGTGGCTCGTCACCATGACGACCATTACAGCACATCACAGAGAACCCTCTCCCCCCAGCAGTTCTATGGGATACAATAAACACTCCTGTCATCCCAGGAACAGTGTCTTGCGCGGTTTTTACCCCCGCTATTTTTCTAAATCTCCTCTGTCCGGTGCGCGCGCTGTCCTGCTATGTGGCGCGCACGGCTGCCTTGCGCCATTCTCAGCGCCTGTTTGTGCACTACTGAGAGCGCTCGATCGGGCAACCTCTGTCTGCACAACGGCTGTCACACAGGTTATGTGAGGCTGTGTCACAGGCATGTCTCCTCTGGGGTGGAGCCCCCGGAGAACATCAATGCACACTCCACCAGAGGAATTTCCTCCTCCACGGCTTTGCACGGAGGAATGTGGAGTGGAAGATATTTGCACTGCTGCATCTTGCTCTTCCCCCTGTTCGTTTATTCTATTTTTATTGAGGTATGTCTCCCATTCCTCTCTGACACACCCTGTACGGGGTGTCCTGTCGGAGTGAGTGACGTCAGGGAGCCAGCTGTGCGCCTCTCTCCTGCCTCTCGGCACGCGGAGAGCGGCCCTTTTCCCCTCTTATAGGAGGGATGTTCCTTTTTCCTCTGACACACTTTGTACGGAGTGCCTGGTCAGAGTGAGTGACGTCAGGGATCCAGCTGGGCGCTCTCCTACCTGTCTGACACGCAGAGAGCTGCTGTTCCCCCTCTATGATCGCTGCACAAGGTGGGACCTTCGTCTCTACTTTCTCACAGCGGCCGGTATGTATTGTTCCCAGCCTTCACCCCGTCGGGAAGATAGGCATGTTTTGCTATGTTCCAGGGACGGTGATGCGCCATTACGCATGGCACAACAGGCATGGGGTGTTATTGAGCAGGTATGTCTGTGCTTCTAGTGCCGGGCGGACCCAGTGGGGCGCAGACTACATCATGCTTCGCCCTTAACCCAATAGCGATAGCCTTAGAGGGCGAAGCCATATACGAAATAGAACTGAGGTTACCTACTGTAACCCCAGCTTCTATGAGTAAATGGCGCAGCCCTCTAAGCGCTGGGCCCCACTGGCTCTACGAATAGCTGAAGAAAAGTTATTTGGTATGGGAGCAGATTGCCGGGCCTCCTTCCTATTTATACCGGAAAGAGGCCCGAGGGTGGGCGTGGACTACAAGTGTTTCAGTGCTGCGCGGGGGCGCAGGGGGTTTACCCAATAGCGATAGCCTTAGAGGGATGCGCCATTTACTCATAGAAGCTGGGGTTACAGTAGGTAACCTCAGTTCATTATACTGATACTCCAAAGCAAACACACTTTACACACTCACACATCCTACCTAGTTTTCCCTCCAACAAAAGCTTTAATGTGCAGATCCACTGGTATATCTTTTGGGGGGACAATGGGGACTCGGACACAGCCGGACAAATTCTGGGCGCTGGGGTGGACGACGTGACTCTCGCCCTCAAATATCCCCTCAGCGAAGATGAGCACTGCACGGATGATGGTTTCTGGAGAAGACACAAAAGAGGATCAGGGACCCGGGACTTTGTATTTACTCAGCCCTTAAACAAGCTTGAGTTTCTCAGCTTAAGTGCTAAAACACTGTACCATTTGGTGTTGAAATGCTGAGCTCTACATGAGCCTTCTGTGTCTCTGTAGCAGGTCGTACCGAGAGCGCCGTCTGGAGCTGAGTGTTGGCAGGTATGACGCCCACCCCACTGTTTGTCTCTGACACACCCTGAAACAATGGTACAGTTTGTGTGGATGTTAGCATATTTATAAAAGAATATGCAGCCAAATGTGAAATCAGACTGCTATCCCTGATGTGGCCAAAATATGAAAGTAATACGAATAATCGTTTCGGTACAATCAATAATTACACAATTATCCTACTTCAAATGATTCTGAAATGTACTGTCTGTTACACATCTTCATAACAATTTGGTTTTACTGAGGTTTGGTGATATGGAATACTCTCATATTTTAATATTCAAGAAGGTTGTTAAAAGGTTTGTTTTTATCTGCACAATGCTATTTTAATGGATTATTTATGTAAACCTCCCGTTAATAGTTATTTTTTCTACTTTTTATTTTATTTCTGCTAGTGTGTGAGATCTTATCTTTCTCTATATTGCATTGTTTTTTTTGGTATTTTCTAATGGATTAAGGCATACACTGGAGAGTGGTGAAGAAACCCTAACCCTGCAAAAGGTTTTTTGCAGCTCTTTATCACATTGTCTGTTATTTATGTAAGAATAATTTTTCATGTTCTAATGCATACATGTAAGCGAATAAACAATGCATTTTGTGTTTTTTCTTTGAATTAGAAATGTTGAGTTAAAAGTTAAGTATTTGAGGGTATCAATCAAGAAATGTATCAGTAACTTCAGTTCAATTAAAGATAATCTGAAAATAATCTGCTATCATTTATAACACATGTTGTCACGTAAATGTAAATCTACATGTTGCCCATTTCAATAACACCTTCTTTAATCCAACCAAATACTATTCCCCATTTCTACGCTCTTTGTACAATGTAGACAAATAAAACTTAAAAGACAAATAACAAAAAAAAAGTATAGAATAAATATATGTACCTTGGCATTCTCTTCATAGTTGCGTAGCTCCAGCAACAGATTCTGTCTGCGTTGGCTGAGCTCTCTAATGAGGTCCTGTTCAGCACTGGTGTCCATCAGATTCCCTTTAAGGTCTTTGCTCGCTGGCAGGTAGCCTCGCACTACAAGATACACACATTTATTACACTAAGGACTTTCATGAGAGTCATTTTCAGGTTCCTATTTGTATTTTGTACCTCTACTGTGACATGATTACAGGCTTTAATGTTCAAAAAGCTCTTTATTTGTCTCATACTGCCTGTGCTGCAGCACCTCTTTTCACCCTCTGTCTGAAACCAGAGCCCGGTCTGCTCTGATCGGTTAGCTGGCCGGCTCTGTTGTGAAAGGTGAACCGCTTAGAGATTCCCCGCCCCTAAGCCACGTACAATATGTTGGAGCGTTAGTCAGTAGAAACTGAGTGTTAAAAAGTGATGTCACTATTTCCCAGAAGTAAACAAATGAGTCCACTGGAGGCATTTCAGGCATGGATGTATATTAAGAACTGGATACAGCGTGGGAGACAGGGTCTCGTTCTTTCCTATGAGAGCTGCTCATTGGCGCATGAGGACAAAACTTTTGAGGACAAAACTTTTGAGAGCAGAAGAACCCGTATGTGCGCTCACAGAGCATGCGCCCCTTAAGCCCCGCCCCCGGAGCTCCCACTCTTCGGCTCAGAAAGAATGAATGGAGAAAGAAAATAAATCTAGATTCGGCTTTTAGTTCATTTTACAACTTGAAGGACCTAATGATTATAATAAGGGCTATAAAATAGTTCATACTGGGTAGTTTCGTTAAAAAAAAATATATCCGCTGATTTACAGACGTCTCTTTCCCAATGTTAGTCAATGGGAAGAAGTCTTTCTGGGCCCAGTGACGTCACGAACTGACACGGAAATTGTAGTACCGCCGTTTGGACACAACGAATATTTTCATCAGAGTCCGGCGCACTTCCTGGGGGCTTGATTTCAGGCAGTTTGGGGTGGGCAGGAGTGTGGGAGAGAAACTTTGAGATGTTAGCCTTTGCAGACCATTTACATGCACACAAACCTATATAACACACTACAGGAAAGGGAAAACCCACAAAAGCCTAATAGGACCCCTTTAATTGTTCATTTCTCCCCGATCATGTTCGATTGGTTGCATGCTTTGCCTGAATAAGGCTTAAAGCACAGCTGAGGCAGACAGGAATGGTGTTATTTTTTAAGGGATTTGCTGAGAGCATTAAAGACACATTTAGAAAATCACAAAAGCATCACAAATTAAACTCAATACATCTCCATTGTACTTAGGTGAAAATGCAAGACTACAATGTTTATAAAATCCTTAACCACAAAACAAATATATCCTTTTTAGTTAGTGAGATAATGGCAGGCCGACATACCCTCTCCCTCTATGGAGGTGCAGATGAGTTGTTTCTGTCCATCCAACCTGTAGTCCCCCTCCACCACTCCGGCCACAGAAGATGAGAAGTTGTCTTTGAAAATGACCTCGCCTGTGCGTTCGCTACGAGCGTCAATCTGACATAAAAAGGGGGATTTGATGAAAGACTGAAGATTAATGAGAGATACTGCGGAAATAAACGACTTGTTGTACCCACAAAAATCTAAATACAAATGAGATTTCTGAAGTTTGATTGGTTGTTTTCTAAATGATAGGCCTGCTGGGTTGTGTGCTGACCTTTCCATTGGACCAGCCAGTGATGAGCTCCACCACACCATCAGCATTCAGGTCAAACGCATGGATGCTCATTGCATGATTCTTAGACTGATTGGTAGAGAATAACACATGAAAGAAAAGCAAATGGAGACACATTATCAAAAGTACAGAAGGTACATATTTTCCCATTTACATGTATTGCTATTGATATAACTAAATGTGTGAGATGCATAGCGTTTGATACTACTAGAACTATTTTTTTTCTAGAGAATTTCTCCTACCAACCGTATTACTACGCTGAAGGAAGTGTACATCTACTCCTGAGCAAAAGGCTTTTGCCCATTCTTTGGCAGGTGTAGTCCCACATAAATAAAATAGTCCCCATCTCATCCCTCATCGTCACAGCACAAAGCGTCTCGGACTGTCTTTGTGCCTGTAGCCATCAGTTAACCACGTAACCCATGAAAAGTAACCCGTACTGTTTGTACAAATGACTTTGACCTGCACTCATATCTGCACACATACATTAAATATATTTAACAATCCAAACTCAAATATGTATTTATGTTCATTCAAATTACCAATGTTTTACCATGTGGTGATATATTGTTTTAACAGTTACTTATATAATGTTATTTTTATTGCATTTGTGTGACTCTGTACTGTCCTCTCTTTCACTCTCTTGCTGTTTTATACTCCTGAAATGTCCTATGGGGATTAATAAAGGTCAATCTTATCTTATCTTAGTTCTTACAGGAAAATACTCCCACCAAGGATTACTTGAGTCAGGTTTTGGAAAGAGACATATCATATAGTGTCATTTTGTTGCATTATATTTAGAGAAAGCAGATCTCTTTGGACCATATTTCCAACAGTCTGCAACAATCTTGATTGATAAATCACACTTGAGGTAGGCAGAAAAATATATTAGATTTGATCTTGGGGAATGTCCCTTTAAAACGATTTAAGATAATTGATTAACTATTAAGCTCTTGCAGGCTCAAATACTTGAGGAAATTATAATTTTTACAATAACAGAAAAAAAAGAAAAAGGAATCAAGCCTGCTGAGGGAGAGTGTGATGTGAATCCCCTCTTGTCCAAGACAGCATTTTCGTAAATGAGTACCTTAATCCTCCAGTAGTGGGCGGTGCGGTCATAAACTCCCACAGTGCCATTAGCCAGGGCATAGCCAAACCTGCTGCCATGCATATAGCACAGTGATGTTACAGTCTGTACAAGGAGAGAGGGACAACTTATTGAGTCAAAAACATTACTTTTCTTCAGCACAAAACAGATAAGATAATAACTAAGATATGAGTAAATATAGTGCATATATTAGTTCAAATGATATACTCTCCCACAAAAACATAATTTAAAGTTTTTAAAAACATACTTTTGTGAGTATTGAAGAGGGAAATGTGTTGCATCCATTTACCTCATTTTCAGTCATTTCAGCCACAAGCTCATCCTCTTTGAACACCCTGATGTCAAAATCATCTGATCCTACCAGGAGCTGTAAACATAATGCACAATGCCTGACTTAATTCTCCTTCAAAACAATAAATGATCATATCAATACGATTTAATCTTTCATATAATTAATATCTACAGTTTAGTCACAAGGGCTGTAACAAATGTCTCTTTACTCCCTAAGCTTCTTTTAAGTTTTTTTAATGAAAACTATCTATCTATCTACTGTATCCTTCTATCTATCCATCTATCTATCTATCTATCTATCTATCTAGTATCTTTTCTTTTAATTTTGACTTTTAGATTCAACATATTCTTTTGTTATTGGAAATTTGAATATGTTTGGATATCAAGAGTCAGAAAGACACGTACGCTGCCATACTTAGAATCCAGTACCATACATTTTATAATATTAGCATGGTCTAATCTGAACAGAAATACCTGCTTGAAAAGACATGAAAAGACACTGAAAAAAAGGTGTGCAGCATTCAAATGTTGACCTTGGAATTTGAAAATAAAAATATTATGAATAAAGCTTCAAAGCCTCCAGGACGCAAACCCAGCGACTTCACAGTGCTGCCAGACAGTCAGGACTTACCTCATTTTTCCCATCCCCAGTGAAGTCACAGAGCACCAGAGATCTGACATTATCTCCTGTTACCTAAAAACAAGACACTTGATGAATACATTTATTAAGTTATTTCAGCCAAGAAATTGTTTTCTCAACAGGGACAGTAAATAGTCAATTTAATTGTCTGCTTGTGTCTTCTTCAAATAAATAAGTCAAACAATCTTAACTGACAAGATAGCTAGAAAATGGTTGGGTATGCAGACATATACTGTAGCTAAAGTAACAGTGTCATTTGTTCTGTGTTATATTGCTTTTTAACAATACCAATTTCTTGACAGATCTGTATTGTATCCCCATGTTGAAATGTTGCTTACTGTCCAGAAGCGATCATTGCCCACATAGTCAAAGCCTTGTAAGGCGCAGTTCCCGCCTATGATGGCAAGAGGATTCGGGATGTCCCCGAGCTTTCCCAACACGATAGCATTGGCCCCATCCGTCACACACACACACACACACACACACACACACACACACACACACACACACACACACACACACACACACACACACACACACACACACACACACACACACGTTTTCACTCCATCAGCATCAGCTAAATCCCCCAAAAAGTCACAAATAGATTAACCCCTTAAGTGCATCAGCTTTTTTCAAACATCCCTACATTCGGGGCTCTATATGAATAACTCTAAATACAATATAACTATGTGAGCATCCATACTGATGACAAATAAGCGATTTTTTTAAAACGGGGAAAACACTGGATTAAATTGAAGAATTCTGACTTTTTTCTAAGAACTCAAACACATCTTTACATTTGGTCCTAATCCTCTGCTGTATAAATTAGTAGTGGTCCAGAGTGTACATCATTTACCATTCAGTACTTTGCAAATGCTACAACACATTTTGTGAAGCACTATGATCTATCAACTTATTAGTTGAGTTGTTATAATATAAATAATAATAAGCAAACAGTGAAAAAGTAGCTGCAGCTGTGCCACACAAAAACGCTGACAGCCAATCATAATCTCTCCTAGCCTCAAAGGGGAGATATCTTTACTAGAGTTTACTATAACTTCTTATAGAGTGACACCTACATCAGCAAAAAGAGGATAAAACTGATGAATTAAGGGCAATCGGAAATGTTACACAAAAATCAACAACCTCTGATTACCTATATGCTGCAATTATTTCATTGTTTCAAGACTCCATTCCTGGTAAGGCCTACAACTACATGTATATATCTTACCTCTCTGTAGAATATATCAGCATTGTCATGGACATCATATGCCAGCAGGTTGGTCAGGGAGCCCACCAACAGTGTGTCCCCTGTCAAGTTTGGTCCAAGCGTTCCAGCCGTCAGACAAGTGACTGCCTGGTTAATGTTGAGGAGTGAGATGTCAGAGTCTTGTGTGCTCTGGCTCAGTCGGTGGGCAACAGGTCTCTGACCACGAGCGTGAGGGTTATGGATGAAAACCTTCCAAAGGGAAACAGGGAGAATTAAGGGCATGAAGTGAAAACATAAGTATGGCATAGTATGTATTAAAAGAGTGAGGTAATGACTGGTAAGTCCAACAAATATGTGGGAAAGGACTGTAAGGTAGGGGAGAACATGGTCACAACAAACATGGGATATGCAAATAAATCCCTCAGGAAATATTAAGCACTTAAGACAACAACCATGCTAAGCTCCAAAAAGTTATGTTGGAATAGTGCACATGTTATTTTATTTACCTTTCCAGCCTGTGTTGCTGCAGTGAGGCATGGGTGGACTCCATCAAATTTCCCAACAGTCACCATGCGAGGGTTAATCTTGTGGTTCAGCTTCAATGTGAATATAGGGACCAACATGATGCCTACTGTATATCCCTATATGAGAGCAGTAAAGCAGACACATATGGCTACAGCGAAATACAATATTATTTACGCTCTTTTTGGATAGTAAATTGGAAAATTAAGCACATGGGAAAAGTATCTTGTATATGACCAAGTGAAATGCGTGATGTTGCCACACTAATGAAATTACAGGCTTTACCCCAGTGGAGAGTTCTGTTGCCTAGCAACAAGAGTTGCAAGCTAAAGCTTCTCTTCGGACTAATCTCCCTGTCCTCTGTGGTACAAGAATGCCAATTATACAACAAAAAGACACCACGTATGATTATTTAACCAACCGTAAGCCCTGTTTCAATGACAAGCACGATATGAATTATTCGAAGAAAATACAATGCCCTATATTTACCTAGAATACTTTGCTAGCCTGCTAACGTCGTTGTCTTATATGTTGCCGGAAACCACACCAGCTATTGAAGACAGTAAAACACACGACTTAAAATGTTTTTGGAAAACCGTACCAAGTTGGACAAGCAACCTCACCTGGGCCTCTGCTTTCCAGTAAAAGCTGTATTTTTGGTTGATTAAGCTAACCAGCTAATGAGCTAGCTGGAGAGCCCGACAACGAAGTGATTCCCTGTCAACAACAACTTCCTGTCATTGGTTTTTCAAAATAAAAGATATTGCCAACGTTTCTGCACAGGACTAGAGCTGGCAGCATGTAACCTCAAATAAATAGCCTACATTTATTAATATAAGCCTCCTATCCATCTTTTAAGACACTTCTACTTTGCCAGAGTATTTCACATTAGACAGTATGAGGTAGTGTCATACTATTAAGTGCCTTTGCTCTTTGAAGTGCCTTCAGACATACATCTGTTTGCACCTACAGTCTATGGTTTGCACCTTACAATGTATTTCTTATAACAATTAACTAATTTCACTGTACGGTATTTAATTTTACATTCTGTTCTTGTTTATCTTATTCCATGTACACTGTCAGTCAAAAATGTGGACACACATTCAAATTCGAAGTTTTTTATTTATTTAATTTTTTTAAATACTGAAGACATCAAAACTATAAAAGAACACATATGGAATGATCTAGTAGTAAACAAAAAAGTTTTAAAAATCCAGAATATGATTTATATTTTATATTCTTCAAAGTAGCCCCCTTTTGCCTTGATGACAGTTTTGCACACTTTGACGCCAAGAAACACAAGGATTGGACATTAGACCAGTGGAAATCTGTACTTTGGTCTGATGAGTCCAAATTTGCGATTTTTGGTTCCAACCGCCGTGTCCTTGTGAGACGCAGAGAAGGTGAGTGGATGGTTTCTGCATGTGTGGTTCCCACCATGAAGCATGGAGGAGGAAGTGTGATGGTGTGGGGGGGCTCGGCTGGTGACACTGGCTGTTGGTGATGTATTCTGAATTCAAGGCACACTTAGCCAGCATGGCTACCACAGCATTCTGCAGGAGCCAGCAAAATATAAATCATATTCTGGATTTTTTAACATTCGTTTGTTTACTAGATAATTCCATATGTGTTCATTTATGGTTTTGATGTCTTCAGTATAAATCTACAATGTAGAACACATTTAAATAAATAAAAAACTTCGAATTTGAAGGTGTGTCCAAACTTTGACTGGTACTGGATGTATATACTATCCTGCATTTACTTGTTCACTTACAATATTTTTTTAATCGTTTTATTTCTCATATACCTCTACATCTCATATATTATGTTGCCTTGATCGAGGAGCCTGGGACTTAAGACTTTCATTCCTATATCTACATTTTAGCCAGAGTTGGGAGAAGTAGCCTACTCAGATCTTGTACTTAAGTAAAAGTGGAAGTACCAAAGAGGTATACTCTGTTACAATTAAAAGTTAAAGTGCCAATTCAAAAAGTACTAATTGTGCTGGCCCATTTCAGAATC